TTTATACATAAGGGATTCTTAGACTTCGGGGTTTTGTGACTGGGGAGGTGACAAGGGACGTTGTCCTTCAAACACAATACTGTCTTTTCAGGCAGCTGGGCAGAACTCCACAACTGGGGAAGGAAGGAAAGCTGTTCTGACCTTTTTGGCTAGGAACTATTGTTTCTACAAACTTGCCGCAGTTGTTTGGGAACGCCTAATTGCCCCCCTCTCATGGCCCAAAGTATGGCACTTATCTCTCCAAGGATGTTTGGTCTTCGTTTTTCTCAAGGACAGGGTCCACCTTTACTTGGAAGTGCTTAGCCATCCATCAGAGGGGTGCCATCCTCAGCAACACAGGAGCTGATAATTGTTGCTACTTATCTGTTCTCAAGCTGGCATTTGTGACTCCCCGGAGGGAGTTTCCTTAGGGAATGCCACTATGAACACGAGGATAAAAATATTTTGATGCCAGGCCATGACTCCTCTGAAAGCCCAGGTGCCAAGAAAGAGCAGAGTGGGGAAGGAAGACTCTATAATTGGTGAGAGAAGCATCGAGCTAAAGCTATGCAAGCAGCGGGGAAAGCACAGAGACTGGCTTCCCTGACCCTTCAGTAAACTTTCTAACCAGGTCCATATCCAATAAGGAAATAGAAGAAGTCATTAAAAATTTCCCAACCAAAAAAGAGCCAAGGGATAGACAACTTTGCTGCAGAATGCTAGCAGACCTTCAAAGAAAGTCTTAATGCCAATAACACTTAATGCCAATAATCTTCAAACTATTCCATAAAATAGAAATAGAGGGAACACTGCCTAATTCATTCTATGAAGTCACAATTACTCTGATATCTAAACCACACACAGGAGCAACAACACAACAAAAGAGAGACTCAGACCAGATTTATTTATGAATATCAATGTAAAATCATTTCATAAAACTCTTACAAATTGAATCCAGGAACACATCAAAACCATCGTTCACCATAATCAAGTAGACTTCATCCCAGGGATGCAAGGTTGGTTCAATATATCTATTAATATAATCCACTAAAAAAATCCACTAATTAAAATCTATTAATATAATCCACTATATAAACAAACTCAAAGAAAAATAATCACATGATCTTCTCCTTAGATGCTGAAAAATACAACACTTCTTCACGTTAAAAGTATTGGAGAGATCAAGAATTCAAGGACCATACCTAAACACAATAAAAGCAAATTACTGCAAACCAACGGCCAATATCAAATTGAATGGAGAAAAACCTGAAGCAATCCTACTAAAATTAGTGACAAGACACGGATGCACAGTCTCCCCATATCTACTCAATATAGTACTTCAATTTCTAGTTATAAAAATAGAATAACAAAAATAGATAAAGGTGATAAAATTGGCAAATAACACATAATGGTATCACTATATCCAGCTGATAAATTCTACTAGAGAATTTATAATAACTTCTACAGTTGATCAACAACTTCAGCAAAGTGGCTGGCTATAAATCTCTGTCAAAAAAATCAGTAACCTTCCTTTATACAAATGACAAAAAGGGTGCAAAAGAAATTACAGAAACAATGTTCTTCATAATAGTCACAAATAATTTACAATAACTTTTGGTAACTCTAACTAAACAAGTGAAATATCTGTATGACAATAACTTCAAGTCTCTCAAGAAAAAATCGAAGAGGATTTCAGAAAATGTAGAGATTGCCCATGTTCCTGGATGGGGAGAATTAACATAGTAAAAATGGCCATCCTATTAAAGGCAATCTACCCATTCAATGCAATCCCCATGAAAATCCCAGTACAATTCTTCAAGGACATGGAAAGAGCAATTCTCAAATTCGTCTGGAAAGGCAAAACACCAAGAATAGTGAAAACAATTCTTAACAATAAAAGAACTCCTGGGGAAATCACCATTACTGAACTCAATATTTATTACAGAGCAATAGTGATAAAAATTGCATGTTATTGGTACAGAGACAGACATGGTGATCAACGGAATAAAACTGAAGACCCAGTGTCAGGAGCAACTCTGCTTATACATTAAATCCTTATAAAGTCTTGGCCTCTATGGGAAAGCACTAAGAATAAATAATCATAAATCTTGTAGACAGGTAGCCTTTGGTGGGAAAGAAATAGCCTAGATAAGAACAAATGATCATAGATCTTGTAGACAAGTAGCCTTTGGTGGGAAAGTATTAACTTACATAAGAACGAATGACCAATAGATCTTATGGACAGGTAAATAGTGACCTGTTCTGCCCTGCTTCTTCTGCGAATTTTTCACTGAGCCAGTATCCTGTTCCTGAAAACACCTGTGCTCCCCAGAAACAAAAGAGATCCTACATCATCCCCACTCCATATCCTGCTTCTATTTATATATAACCCCATGTAGGAAAAGTAAAAATTCGACAGCTTGAACAGGTCTCTTTACTTGCTGTTGATTCTTCGCGTCCCCTTGTTTCCCCCAGTTCTTCTTCAGGTTCTTTGATCTGAGTTCACCACCCTGGGGCCAGGCAACAAAGAAATAACAACATACACTTATGGACACTTGATCTTTGACAAAGACACCAAAAATATATCTTGAAAGAAAGAAAGCATCTTCAATAAATGGTGCTGGTCTAACTGGCTGTCTGCATGTAGAAAAATGAAAATAGACCCAAATTTGTCACCTTGCACAAAGGTCAAGTCCAGTTGGACCAAAGGCTTCAATATTAAAACAGATACACTGCTTCTAATAGAAGAGAAAGTAGAAAAGAGTCTTGAATTCATTTGCACAGGGGGGCATTTCCTAAACAGAACCCAAATAACTAACTCTCTAAGATCAGGTATTGATAAATGGGATCTCAAGAAACTAGAAAGTTTCTGTAAGGCAAAGAACATGGTCAATAAGACAAATCAGCAACCTACAGACAGAAAAAAAACTTCACTAACCCAACATCCAATAGAGGGCGAATATCCAAAATATATGAAGAACTCAAGAAGCTAACCACAAAAAATACAAACAACCCAATAAAAAATGAGTTATAGTACTAAACAGAGAATTCACAACAGAGGAATCTCAAATGGCTGAAAAGCACTCAAAGAAAGGTTCAAAGTCCTTAGTGATCAAGGAACTGCAAATCAAGATGACCCTGAGATTCTACCTTACACCTATCAGTATGGCTAAGATTAAAATCTCAGGTGACAACAAATGTTGGTGAGGATGTGGAGAAAGAGGAACACTCCTCCACTGCTGAAGGGATTGCACACTGGCACAACTACTCTGGAAATCAATCTGAAGTTTCCTCAGAAAACTGAAAATAGATCTAATGAATACTCAGCAGTATCACTCTTGGTAATATAGTCAAAAAATGTCTCACCATGCAACAGGGGTATGTGTTCCTCTATGTTCATAGTGGCCTTATTTTTGATAGCCAGAAGCTGGAAACAACCTAGATGTTCCATAACCCAAGAATGGATACAAAAATTGTGGTTTATTCACAATTAGAACACTACTCAGTTTTTAAGAATCAGGACATCCTGTGTTGTGCAGCCAAGTGGATAAAACTAGAAAATATCATCCTGAGGGTGGTACCTCAGACCCAAAAGGACATGCATGGTATGTGCTCACTAATATGTGGGTATTAGCTTAAAAAGGTACAGAATACCCGGACATTATCCACAAAACTCAAAAAGGTTAATAAACTTAAGGGCCTAAGTGAGGATGCCTCAGTCCCACTTGGGAGGGAGAAGAAAGCAAGAGGAAAAGGAAGAAGGGACCTGGGTTGGAAAGAGTCCAGGGAGGGGAAGAGTACATAATCAGTCATTGGGTGGGGGGAAAGGACTGAAGCCCTGAGGTTCAGCAGAAGGAGGGAGGGTAAGTCCTATGTGGGAAAAGAGACAGGGATGGGAAGAGGGGATCAGGTATCAGATGGGGGAGAAATGATTGAATCCCTGAGGGCAAGGAGAAAGAATGGAAACAGGCAACCTAGGGAGGTAGAAGTTGTGGGACTCTCCAGAATGTACCAGGGAACTGGGAGGTAAGGAACTCTCAGGACTGAAAGGGAGGGACCCTAGGTAAATGCTCAACAGTGAGGAGAGGACAGTGAGGAGAGGGAACCTGTAGAGCCCCCCTCTAGTAGAAAGACAGGGCATCAAGTGAGGAATTGGGTTGCTATCCCACCGTCAAAAACTGTGACCCATAATTGTTCCTGTCTGAAAGAACTGCACTGAGAATAATGGAGAAGAGCCTGAGGAGGTCCAGCAACAGGCCCAATATAAAATCCACAAGTGGAGTCCCCAATGCCTGACACTATTACTGAGGCTATGGAGTGCTCACAAAAAAAGCCCTAACATGACTGTTCTGTGAAAAACCCAATGAGCAGCTGAAAGAGTCAGATGTAGATAATTACACCCAACCAATCACCAGAAGCTGGTGATCCCTGTGGTTGAATTAGGGAAAAGCTGGAAGAAGCTGAGGAGAAGGGCGACTCTATAGTAGGATCAGTTATTAATTAACCTGGTCCCCTGAGATCTCTCAGACACTGGACCTCCAACTAGGTAACATACACCAGTTGATATGATGTCCTGAACACATATACATCAGAGAACTGCAGAGTCCAGGTTCAGTCAAAGAAGATGCACCTAATTCTCAAGAGATTGAAGTCCCCAGGGATTGGCGAAGTCCTGTGGAGTTGGGTTAGGGGAGTTGCAACAACCTCATGGAGATGGAGGGGGCATGTATAGATGTGGAACAGTCAGAGCATGGACCCAGAGGAGGATAAAAATCTGGAATGTAAAAACTATTAAATAAAATTTAAAAAATAAATAAATAAAAATAAAGTATATTATGGTTTTCAATAATGAAAAAAATAATAACTGGTGCCCATTCTATTCTGTAGTTGGAAAATTGCAATACAGTTGGATAAACGCACAATCTCTGATAGAATCAATCTTATATTAGAAATGTATCATACATGTTTCAAATTCTTTAGAGCATAAATTCAAACCTATTAAGTTATTATAGAAGCTAAAATTATTTTTGAACTGTTTTGTGAAGTTTAATTCTTTTAGAATGTGTAATCTTCCTAATATGATGAAATGAATTTTTGTCTGGTCTCAACAAGATAATATAACACTTAGGGGCAAATATAAAGCCAAGGAGTGCTGCACTGGAAGCCAAAATAGAGAAGACTTCCATAGCCACCATGAGTTTTCCTTTAGTGCTGTGGTATACAGGGAGGAAGGTGATCCAGACACAGAAGAACACAAGCATGCTGAATGACAGAAATTTTGATTCATTGAATGTATCAGGCAGATTTCTAGACAAGAAGGCCATGGTGTAACTCCCAAGTGCCAAGAAGCAGAGGTATCCGAGGAGTGAGTGGAAAGCCACAGCTGAGCCCTTGTTGCACAAAAGGATGATATGCTCATGTTCTGTATGAACATCTTGGTCCAAGAATGGAGGAGATGTTGCCATCCACATTCCACAAAGAACAAGTTGGATTAGGGTACAGATAGGAATGATGTAATTTGGGGCCCTTGATACCATTAGCCACCTTACCATTCTCCCTGGAAAAGTGGCCTTAAAGGCAATGACCACAGTAATAGCTTTGGCTAACACAGTGGCAAGAGCCACAGTGAATGAAACTCCAAATGTGAACTGCTGCAAAACACAGGTGGCTGTGTTGGGCTGGCCAATGAAGTTCAAAGAGCAGAGGAAACAGAAGGTAAGTGTGGTGAGCAAAGTGTAACTGAGAGCTCGATTATTGGCCTTGACAATGGGAGTGTCTCTGTGTTTTACAAAGACTCCAATGACAATGCCTGTGAGTGCAGAGAAGCACAGGGCTATGCTGGTGAGGGCAATTCCCAAGGGGTCTTCATAAGCCAGAAAGCTGTGATCTTTCTGAAGGCAGTGATTCTTCTTTTTATTTGCATAATAGCTTTCTGGACACTTCATACATTGATCCACATCTGGTCAGAGGGGACAGTGATCATGAGTCCATGCTAAGACATTACTTTCTACATGCTAATTGGACTTATACAGAAGTCACCTGCCCTTGTTCTCTTAGGAATGATGTATTATGCCTACTTTTGTGAATGATTTTAGATATATATACAGACCACGTTTTTCCTTAGATATGTCTTTTAGTTTTTGTGTTTATATATAACATGTTTTTATCCATTCTATCTCTATTTCCTACTATTGCACTCATTCCTATCCCTCAGTTTTCACTCCAAACTTAATGTACTGTCTAATACAAGTTTTTATATTTTATACTTTATTCAGTGCTGCCAGTATAGATATGATTGGGATAGCTTGTGTTGGAATATAGGTACACTTTCAGTGTCTACATTCCTAACCAAAAAGTGACGTCTCTCTTTAGATAACCATGAAATACCAGGAGTTTTTCCCACAACTGATCTTTATATTGTTTTAAATTGAACTAATCTTTTGCCTTTACTTTCTTTAGTTACACATCTTTTTTAACGTTTATGAAACTAGTGGATCTTGTCAGAAGTTAGTAGAATATTAAGATTCACTGCACAAATCAACTTTGGCCCAGAAATTTCCATATATATTATTATAAATTGTGAATTTGACATGTGAAATCTATAAAGTAGGTAGAATGTTTTTTGCAATGATTTTCGGATAGTGCTATTTTCATATTGAAATCCTAAATTTTCTTATCTCTTTAAAAATTCCTTGTATTTTGTTAATTCTCTACTTGAGTTTTATTGAATAAACCTGATTTTATTACTAAAGGCTCAAAAAATTTCCCAGTGAGTTTTTTTGTATGAATAACAAATGGTAGCTATTTTCTGTTTTCACATAGCAAATGAGAAGTGATAAAAAAATTTGCAAAACTTCTTTATGACACTCTTCGTAAAAGTTTGGAAATATTATGTTTAACATAACACATATGCACCCTTATTTATGTGTCTCATTATCAATAAATCCACATATTTCTTAAAACCACAAATAATCACCATATTTTTTTATTTTATATCATTAATAATATTGAATTTGTAGTTCGCCAATTTGAAAATAATACTATCTTATTTTCCTACTTTTAATCAGGAATATTTTCAAATTTAAAATGATTAGTAATTCATTGAACACCAGTCATTTGTAAATTATGCTTATTACATAGAAATACAGTTGGATTTTATCTTGGCAAGTGAATGACAATTATGTGTCAAAGGGTACATCACCAAACTTACTTTGTGACAAAGGGTCATGACTACATACATGTATCCATTCATCCACTCACTTACTTATCCACCCATATATAAATACACATAAGGAGAGATTTCATTTGGCAGATAACTTAACATTATGATTCATCATAATAAAAAGATGAAATTTATAGAAGAGAATGTAGAAACGGTATAGAATTCAGAGGCCTCAGAAGATTATAAAGAAACAGTGATATAGAACACATCATTACAGCTGTGTATATGAACTCATTATTGTAACAGGATGTTCATTCTTTGTGCAAGATTCGATTTGACTGATTATCATCACAGAGGTGAGATTAACATGAACTCACATCATTATCAGAGTAAATATTTTAATTTATTTTCTGATATGAGAGTAGAAATTACTAATCTTTAAGACTGTCAGCACTAGAATGTAGAACAAGCTACAGTGCAAGTCTCATATTCAAGAATACTTGGGTAGAACAATTTAGAGTTAAGTGAGATTTTTAGGAGACAAGTTAGGTAAATATTGAGAAAATGGTGGTTTGGATAAAGTTGTAGGGCATTAATATGTTTAAAATATATTATGAATTATTTAGAAAGAAGTATTAATACAACTATAGATTCAATTTAACCAGGTACAGAAAAATTGAAAATAATTCTTTTTTGCTTTTATGGAAGATGACATGAATGTGCACATTAAATATTCTTCTATGTTGAGATATTATATTCATTTGAAGTCTGTCCCATGCCCCTGCCTTTTATACATATTTGTATATTTTGACATCCTAATTCCAGCATACTTTTATGGCAGTATTGCCATAAAAATACCACTAAATGTCACAAATCTGAAAATGAGTGAGAAAGGGAAATGTGTATATAGTTAATATGTTTACCGTTGCTTGTTTAAAAGCATCACTAACAATTTTCCCACTTATAAAAGAGTCAACATTAAATTTATAACAGAACATTCATTGAAAAAAAACAATGCAACAATTACAACACTGAATGTTTCAAAAATAAGGAAAATCTCTTTGATGTGACTAATTTTTACTTAGAGGAATCAAGCTATTAAAAGATTCAGAATGGTAACATAAGAAAGTTTTACAAAGTAGGATTAGAAGAGAGTATGGCTGATAGAAGTCATTTTAAACATCCAAATATTTTTTACAGTTCATGAATTCATACTTCTATTCACTCCCATAAATAATTACTCATTACTACATTGAATATTCCTAATAAACTTCATTAACACACATTTATTTAAATTTATCTGATAATTAGAATTATATTACTCCTTCCTTTTATTATATTTCTACAGTAAAATGTTATAAAGTTCATTCTGATTTTCATGATTCCATTCCAATCCAGTTAAGCTTCTTTAAATTAGTGAATAATTGAAAAATCAGCTCTATCTGTTTTGAATAACAGATAAAATATTTGTATTCTTATTTGATGTATGTAAAATTATTTTCTCGCTCATATATGTGTATCATGTGTGTATGTATTTCACATCTACAACTCTAATTCATATGACAGGTGCTCATTTCTGAAAGCAACAATATTGAAAAGTGAAATTAGTAGTGGATTATGAGCTCATGATAGCAGAGTCCGAATGAATTTACATTAGAAGTGCCTCATTAACTGCAACAGTGGTAGGGACCTTTCGTTTCTGCTATACACATCTACTGTGATATGAAACAGAACAAATGCTCACTCCTCAGATACTCAAACAATGCTTATTCTAACAAAATTATAAGACAAATGATATTTTACTTAAGATAAAATATGTAGTGTTCATGTAAAGTAGTAGAAAATAGAAAAAGAAATCTAAGTCATTAATGGCAATCTTAGTAAGTATAATTTTTAAGTAAATATTTTAAAACTAACTATATTTGTATTATTATACTGTCTTAGTTGCTGTTCCATTGCTGTAAACACTCATAATTAAGTATACTTTTTAAAAAGAATTGAATTCGGGTGTTTGTTTATAATTACAATGGATTAGATAATTTCCATCATAGTAAGAATCATGGAAGCAACCAGGCAGCAATTATACTGGATCACTGGATCTGATATAATATTGGTTTTCTAAATTTAAGCCCATAATATTATGTTCTCTACTTCTGTCTTTCATATATATATATATATATATATATATATTCATTCTACTACAGAGAGTGTTGGTTGGATTGAAGATACACACAGAGGAAAAAGAACTATTAGAAGGTGATAGCTGTTGGGAGTGGAGGCAATTTTATTTTTCAGAGTGCTGCTCCTGGTTGATTGACAAACTTCAAGTGATATGCATACACCCAAGAGTAGATAACCATCACGTACTCTATTAGGTATGTTAATTACACAGATGTGGGTGGGTGGTTAGGGAATAGGAAAATAAATATGCGAAGAATGGTATGTGTGAATACCATCAAAATACTATGTACCAATTTATTAAAAAACTAACACAAATGAGAAAAAAAATCTCCCTTTAGAAACCCCATAAATGGTTACCAAACCCAGACACTATTATGGATGCCAAGAAGTGCATGCTGACAGGATCCAGATATAGCTGTCTCCTGGGAGGCTCTGCCAGAGCCTGACAAACACAGAGGTAGATGTTCGCTTCCAACTATTAGACTGAGCACAGGGTCCCCAGTGAAGCAGTTAGAGAAAGGACTGAAGGAGCTGATGTGGTTCACAACCCCATAGGAAGAACAACAATATCAACCAAGCTGACCCCTACTCAGAGCTCCCAGGGACAGAACCATCAACCGAAGAGTACACATGGAGGGACCTGTGGCTCCACTTGCATATGCAGTGGAGGATGGACTTGTCAGGGATCAATGGGTGGAGAGGCCCTTGGTCCTGTGATGGCTCCTTGTCCCAGTGTAGGGGAACTAGAAGGGGGAAGACAGGAGTGAGTGGGTGGGGGAACATCCTCATAGAAGCAGAGTGAGGCGGATGAGATAGTGAGTTTCTGGGGGGGGGAGCCAGGAAAGGGGATAACATCTGAAATGTAAATAAAGAAAACAACCAATAAAAAAAAACAAAAAAAAGTACTATACAATGTTAAGAAGACTATGGATACTAAATATTGGTAGCCTTGCATCCACTATTTTATAACGCTGTATATATTCCTTTTTATTTATATTAAAATTTACCCTTCTTTAATTTCAAAAAAAATTTAGCTCTGAATAATCCCAATTAAGGTAAAACAGGTCTGAACTTTACATGAATCTTAATGATTAAAGTACAGTGTAAAATATATAAATGTTTGATAGTTTACTCATATTTGCTAAATAGTACAGTAAAATAAAGCACTATTAAGTGCAAGAGAAAATGTTTTCTGCAAGTATCACTATTGACAGTAAATAGAAGATGTATATCGAGGATGGTGAAAAATTATTGCATTTAAGTTCCTAAACAAAGGGAGGAAATCATTTATCTCTGAATTCTATTAAGACCATTTTTATTGTGAAATGATGTGGAGAAATGAGGAAGGATTCTGTAAAATCTAAATTTACCTGTCTCATTGGAAATCTCATTTTCTGCACAAGGTGTGCAATTATAACAGCAGACAGCCTGACCCTCTAAGGTGACTTTCCTGTATCCAGGCCCACAACTCTCACTGCACACAGATTTTGGGATCTGAATGGAATAAAAAAAATGTTATCTGCTATGACAGCAATTTTCAAGTATTCTTCAAAACACAGAAAGTATTTGTAATGGTTATACCCTTCAAAAGGTAAACATGTTTAATTATTTCTCAGAGGATTTTAGCAGTATTGGGGAAATTGGAATCTTAATGAGTCAGAGACATTTTTGAGAAAAATGGGTCACCTAGAACATGAAGGGCGAGGGGTATCTCTAGACTGATAATGCCTTAGTACTGACTCTCTCCTGGGTTTAGTAGCTTTACTTCCACCATTATAGCGAATCTCAACTGTCAACTTGACAGGCTTTAGAATGATCATGGAAACATATATGTACCAATTTCTATGAAGGAATTTAGGTAAATTTAGCTAAGGAGAGAAGGGCCACTTAAATTAAAATTTGTTACTATTTATAGGTTACTGTCTCTGAAAAATGTAAAGGAGATAGAATAGAGCTTCAGCATTCATTCATTCCTTTTTACTGGCAAAGGGTATAATGCCATAAAACCCTCATACGTTTCAAAATGATGCATTTGTGAAGATATTTTACTGCCTCCTCAAAATTTTTCTGGAGTTATTTCAGTTATGTATTTAGTTACAGGAGCAGACAAGTAAATAGCTTAGACATGTACACACATTACAATTTTCTTTTTCCAGTGAACTAAAAATCAATGAATCAAATCATTGATCAAAACTTCAGTAACAATGAACCTATTGAATACAAACTAACAGTTTAATGTGCTGACAGAATGACTTAGCATTTTGAATGCAAAGTATCTAACATATGCTCAAACATTGACTGTCTCCCTGTTGATTATAGTATTTGGGGAGTTATTAAACTTTAAAGAATGCAGACCTGCTCGTAGAATGTTCAAGGTAATGAATCAATGACTGCTAACTTGTTCAAATATATGACTATTCAATTAAGACCTATTTTCTTACAGAATACCTTCAAACACCTAGTGTCTAAATGAGGGTACTGAAGGGTAAAGAAATGTCTGAGTGATAAGGAAATGTCTAAAGAGTAATAAAAATGTATCATTGCAGTGAAAAAAAACACTGCCATTGTTTCCCTTAAATATCCACTTTCTAAAATTTCAGCTATAAAAATGTATAGGAAAAATATTGATATTTCTCATTGAAAGTATTACCTGGGGTAGGAATTGAACTACTATAATCCTTGCCTCAGGTCCAGTTTTCTCATGTTACTTACTATAAATTTCTGTAGGAAAAACATTTTTCTGGTCCTTGACTTGTATCTAGAACTAACCCTTTCTTTCTTCTTGCCAGTCATGTTGGACTCTCATACCTCCAGGATCACAAGGCATAGAAGTCACTTTGGGCCATGGTATTTGATGACAGCCACAAAAAAAATTAGGTTGTTTTATGACGTTGAACTCAAATGACAGATTTTCTAAAACTACCCATAAGAAATTTTGCACAGGTCAATTTCCTCTTCTGATGTATCCCAAATTTGTGTTATCTTCAGAAAAACTAATCCTTATATGAGTTATCTTTGGGTGATATATATATATTGAATATTGCTATTGTTCTGAATCAAGGAAGGGGAAAACACAGTATATGAGTAATATTCCTGTGGTATTGTATTCTGGTAATAAAATATTGATGGTCCTTGCATTAGGCAACAAGCTTCATTATATCAGAAAATGTATCCTACCTCTGAAAATGTTTCTGGCCATTGTATCATCTGCTCAGATAAAGTCAACTCTTGGCCATTGTGAGCATTTGCAGAATAGGTTCCTATTTTCATCTTTAGTCCAAGACCCTTTGGAAAATTCCAAAGGTTAAGAATGTCATACTCTTCATTTATTTTCAGTTTCCAATCTAAACCCATGTTTTCCCTCACAAGAAATTTCCTCAGGAAAGAGTTAAGCTGAAACAGATTCATGACTGTATATTACACTGTGTCTAAGAGGTAGAAGAGAATCTATGTTATGTGAACTCTCTAATTGTTTTTAATCACTGATATAAAACTCAACATTAATTAAGCTTCCAGTAATATTGAGTAAATAAATTCCTGGGTAAATGAGAAACAATTCTTCTGAAAGATCATTCAAGAGAAAACTTTGAACAGGCCTTAGGTAACAAATACATGACTGTTTACTCATTCAAATCTTTAATATTTTGAGGCGAGCCAGAACTATTTGCTTTCAGAAGATCTTCAGAAATATTCCAGTATCTGAAATGAGGGTGCTGATATCTAAATGGTAATTAAAAGGTATCACTTAAATAAAAACAAAACAACAACAATAAAACATTATTTTTCTTTCCCTTAAATATGCACTTTTTTATTTCTGTTGTAAGAAATACACTGGGAAAGTATTGGTTTCTTTATTATTATTATTTTGTTGTTGTTGTTTATAATTTTTAATTTGATATTTTATTTATTTATAATACAGATGTCATCCCCTTTCCCCATTTCCCTTCCCTAGAACTCCCATCCTACCCCCCTACTTCCTTTTGCTTTTATACCATTTTAATTATGTGCATGTATTAAGGTCAGTTCTAGGTTGAGGGTCTAGCAATACAACAGATGCAAATAGTCAAGGAACAAGCAAGACAATAAACACAAATAGTCAAAGAACAAGGAAAGTATTAAACCCAATTACTTGAACACTCCTGTGATCACTGTTTCTAAGGGCTTATCAGGATGACCAACCTAGTTCCATGAGAAATAACTGTACAGGGAGCTATTGGTCACATGATCTTGATGATGACTTAACACATTTCCTTCTGGTACCATACAACACATTTCTCTGCATCATAAAATTGAGACTGCCTTGACCTCCATGAAACATTAGAAACAAAAACACTACTGTGATTTTGAATATCATATACTGAGTTTTACAATGCCTATCTTAGTATCTTTACAAATTCTTATATGCCATAGTGCTGATATTATGATAAAATATAAAGGATATTACCTGCCAGGGAAAGAACACCATCCCTTCTCCATTTTCATGTGGTTGTATTTGTATTTTCTTAAGAGTAATCTCATGGAGACTGTGAGCCACAGCATACACAGCATTATATATATTATAGCTCTCTGTACTCATGGAAACACCAAGTATGTGCCTCGGTAATATATTCAAAGAAGCATTAAGTTGACAGTTGTCCAAAAGCTGACAATCAATTTTAGAAAATGAACAATTGAAGAACAAATGCCACAACTTAGGAAGATAGATGTCTTCTGGGTATTTGTAAGGATTAACTGTTTCAATAAACTTGGTAAACTCAAAACTTTCTCCATAATGTTGTGTAAAAATAAGACTCCCATGGAATGAGTCTAACATGAAATAATCAGCATGGTCAGTAACATCCTGTTCAAAATTCATGATCCAGACTTTCCAGGTCAGTAACCTTTGCCCAATATTTCGCATTAGTCCTTGTAGAGAATCAATGTCACCATAAATAATGATCACATTTGTTGATGATTCCTGAATCTCATCCATATTTTTCCATTGTTTGTTAAAATATAAAGTCCTAGTGGCTGGGATCATTTTCACAAAAGCTATGCAAATTCTTTCTTTTTCCATCTCATCTCTGAAATCTGATAAAAGTTTATTCCCTTTGTGATCATCTGGGAGGAGAAGACCAACCCAGGACCACCTAAAATGAAGCATCAAAGATACAATGCCATGTGAAAGAGCTGTGTCCTTGGTGCTCATCTGGTAGAGAGAAGAATACTTACTTCGGTCACTCAAGACAGGATCATAAGATCCAAAAGAAAGCTGAACCAAATTTGAAAGAAATGGAAGAATATTAACATCAAACACAATTTTAGTACTGAAACATATAATAACAATAGGGGAAAAGGTAGGTTTATTCCAGTTTTAAAGGTAAATTCTATTAGGAATAACAGAAAAATCATACTATGCCAGTTATTTTCAATAACCTACATGGTTTCATTCACTTCGTTTTTTTTTTTTACCTGCAAGCAGGAGAAGTGTGGATTGATCACCAAGTGTCTGGGTACTGGGTTTGATGATTGCATAATTCAATCATTCCTGTTTCAGTTTTGAGACAACTATAATATCAACAAAGGAGACCCAATTTCAAGTCCCTGTATGCACATTTTCTCACCTGTGGGAATTTAAAGAGTTGCAGCAGTGTACCAATGTAAGCAGATGTTGTCCATGATGTTCCTGTAAGTGCAGCAGAAATTTTTCTCTCATTGCACCTGTAATTAGGTAAAACTTTTCCCCGCTTGTGAGCTGTGAGCCAACTACAGGCAATCATAAGAGTATCTTTCTCTGTGAATCGCACATTATAGAAATCAAATCCAAGAGTTATGTTTGGCAAAATATTGGGATTACCATTGATCTCTTCAATGGCATATACCAAAGCCAGAACAAACTGGTAGTTCTTAAAATTATATCTGTGTAAATGGGATAAAAATAAACAGGAATATTACACAGACCATATATATCTTCATATTTAGTCAAGTAATAAGTAATATTTAGTACTTTATTTTGTTCCTATAAAACATATTTTCTAATTTCTATACCTTGAATTATGGAACTATTTGGGGTACATGTATTAGAATTCAACAAGATAATTTAGTATTAACATTCATTTTTTACATTTACCCCAAAACGTGTGTTATTTATCTTTTATATGTCAATGCAGCAAAAATTCTATCTACAAATCAGGCATCAGTTTCTTCTAATACCAGATCTGCTGGTATTTGGATCTTGGACTTATATGTTCTTCTGTTATGAAAAGCTACTCTTCTTATCAAACCTTTTGGTTTTTAGAAACAACATCATATTATTCCAATAATATTCCAAGGCTAATTCATTCTATATGTGGGTCCTGTTATTTCTCTGATATATTTTTTTAATGTGGCAGCATGAAATTGCCAGTGTATAACATGCTGGCATTCAATTTGTAGAATAAATCCTGCACCTGCCTCTGAATTGATATAATCAAAAATAATGTATCAGAAAGCCTGTTGCATTTGTATCTTTCTGTGTACTTCTGAAGTTTGTATATATCACTTTTGTTCATATGTGTTCTGTGTGTTCATGAATAAGGAGGTCAACAAGTATAAATGTGAGAGAGCATAAATTTCAGGCTTAGTCCTCATTATTCACACTCTTTACTGATTGCCTCTCATTTTTATTTATTTTGTATATTTAATTGGCTTAGTGAGTGACTGCACAACTGCATGGTTGAATTAGAGGAAAATTGAATATTTGACTATGGCTTCCCGGAGACATGCCCTTTATATCAGGCAAGTCTCAAACTCTATGCCTCTTCCTGTGTCTGGTGAATAAATAGAATAAAGACTTCCTCACCACAAAGCATACTTGGTCAAAACAAAGTAGACAGAGTACTCAGCTAGATAGATCATGACAGACAGGGTGTATATAGGAGTAAGTGGGAGATTTCAAGAATAATCAATATCACAAATTGCTTCTAAATATAAACATTACATTCAAATTTCCATGCAAACATGAGAAAAGGCAGGAGTACTAGGTCAGCAATTAAAGATGTTCTTTTTCCAGAGAACCCAAATTTGTTTTCCAGAAATCATATTAGACAGCTCAATCTAATCAAAAATTACAGATCCGGAGAATTCAATACCTCTTCTTCTCTCTTTGTGTAACTGTACAAAACTATCACATATTCAAAATAATTCATGCACAAAATAAAAAGAAAAATAGTTCTTAATGATAAAAATAATATGAGTTGAAGGAAAAGAGATATTAAAATGTAAAAAAGGAAGTTAATACAAAATACAGCTGCCATCTAGGTTCATTGCTTATGCTATTTATTTGTAAATGTTTGAGATTACTTATAATGATATTTGAATGTGTGTATGTGTCTTGAAAATAATTTCATTTTGTATTTGATAGTTCAATAATGTTATTAGTTACCAAAAGAGAAATTATTAAAAAATTACTGAACATATTATGAAGATAGACAGATAAAAATTAGATAGAATTTTTTTCCACTGAAAAGTAATTAATAAAACAAATGTTAAACTGAGAGTAGTATGAAAAATATGACATTTCCTTAAATATAAATACTATACATTGAAATGTATGCAAATATAATTGTCAAGCTATATATAGATATACAAATATATGGATATATGGATACATAGATATATGGATATGTAGGTATGTATATAGAGAGATATATGATATATAGATATATAAATTTGACAAATACATACATGTAATTACATATGAGTACATGAGAGGTAACAATCAGCATTATGTATTTCATACCAAGAAAATTTGGAGAACTCAAAAATCACCTATCACAAAGCAATGACATGGAGAAATTTTAATCACAAAATATAATCACTCTCTTTTGAATACCTGATTTTGAATATACATTGTTACAGCAAATATATTTTGAAAGTAAAAAGAATTTTATAATTTATTTTGTTGAGATTATAACATAATAGCATCATTTCTTCATCCCTTTTTTGTTTGCAAAACATTATTCATGTCTTTCCTCTTTCTTAAGTCCATGGAATGATTTTTCATTAATTGCCCAATCAGACTCAAAATTAAACATACACATAAAACACACACACACATACATACTCACACCCACAAACAGAAATGACAAACACTAGGTAACTAAAGATTGCTGTGAAATAACCTGTACTAGGTGTAAAATTCTTCTTCAGGAAAGAGCAAACCAGTTGGTTATCTTCTATGAAATTCTCAGTGCTGAAAATATATTCACAAGTAAAATCATATAGACTGTAAAAATTTTTATTTAAAAATGAGCATAATTTCAGTAGAATTTATTAATAAAATACAAAGTGAAAGTTGATTCTCAACCTCAGGAACTGCTTACAGAGAAATGTAGGTGATGATGATAAAACCCATGGTGCTTGGGTAAGCAAGATCAGAGTTCAGACACATGATGGAATAGATTTCACATGGCAGGGAGGTTAGATTTAAATAAATTAGAACAGCTCACAGCATCACAGAAAGAGTCTTAGGTCCTAAATAACATCCAAAGAAAGACTCAAAGGAAAAGGAAATTAATAGTAATACTATTGGGCACATCCAATCAAACACGCAACAGTATTTTGAACAAAAATACCCTACACTGTTTATGTGTCATTCCTTACTCCAGACAATTTAGATCTGGAATCTCATAGATTGGATCAAAATTCATTTAGACTAATTTATATAAAGCACTTACATGATTTTGAATGGATATAATTATTGTGGTTTTCAGCCAAGTGAACCTGTTATGTAATTGGTATATTTAGTTCATAATTAAAATATAATATCATGACTGCTCAGAACATGGCAATTTTAATGGATGAGAATTCATAGTATTGTAAAAAGGATGAAAAATGACTGCAGAAATGCAGACAAATCCCTTTCAACTGTCAACAACTTCAGAAATGAGTTGCATATATTTTCTAGACATATAAGTTTCACAAAATTTAGAGAAAATATCACTATTTACTTAATTTAAATAAAGGAAAATTATTACTTAGCTATATATAGATTCAGAAATAAGAAAGGTTTTCAAGGTAACCCAATCTAAAAAGGTTTGACTCATTACTAAATGTGAATGTTGTAGATGGGTGCTCACATTTGTCTGTATAAGTGACAATTTGAGATGAATGATAAAGTTCTGCTGTTCTGACAAGTAACAATCATCAACTTGCCTCACTGAGACCTTGTCAAAAACTATTATGCCAGAAACATTGGTTCATATCTAACAAAAACCTTGTGTTTTTATTTATGTCTTTGCTAGACTATTCCTCTGCAGATAATATACTTCCTTATAACATACCCTGAGCTCAACAACAAAACCTAAGTGTCAAGGAAAAGCACAAATTGGAAATGAATGAAGGCTAATGGTGCCTAAAACAAGTGAGACAGACACCAAAGGAGAACTTCTCAAATTAAATGAAAAAAAAGGTCAAAACGTTAGAGAACACTCCAGATCCAGTCTACCTTTGTGTACTACAAAGCACGTGTTTGAAATTCAAGGAAAGAGGGATATCAATTATAAGAAAAATTGAGTATCTAAATATAGTTAGGAGTAGAGCCACAGTCACTGCTAATATACTTAATTGAAGACATGATGAAAAGAAACAAGAATCAAATTACCTAAGTGAAAAATATTCCAGAAAATGTGCAGTGGAATTTTTCATAGTTTTTCCATTCCTGAAACTAGTGTAGCTACAGTTATTTAATGTATATGTTTATACTTAAACAATTCTGCTTATCCAAATTACAATAAAAATTTTGTAACTACTATTGAAATAATATTGATAAAACTTAATCAAAGAGAAAATATCTGTACTCAGAAAATATGGATATAAAATGTTTAAAACACATAACAATGTAAAATATTTCAGAATAATGTTCTAGGCAACATTTTTTTCTTTTAATGTGAAAAACTGCTCATAATGTTTTATAATTTTACAGAGTAAATATCTATTACACTTTGGATATTATTTTAATTCATGCAAAGGAAAATAATTCACCCGCATACCTAGAGAAAATTCCAGGTTAAATTTTGAAAGCTATGAGGAGATCAATAAAAGATTTAACATACTGGCAACTAAAATGGCTTAGCCATTGCACATGCCTCCTACTTGTTCTGAGAGATATAATGTGCTGAGAATTTAATTTCAGCACTCTCATTATGAAATGTTAAAATTATTCCTACAGTTTTACTATCTCCAGCTATTTTGAGTTGCTTCAAAACATGTGCAGACATGCAAATAATCTGTGTGATGACAAATTTGAAAAGATTTTACCATGAAGATAACAATGGAACACAACACTTTTCTCTTAGAGTTATTATAGAAAGATCAGGAACCATACTTGCTTTTCTTCAACACTCTGTAAAATAAGAACTCACTTGTCTCCTATCCTGTTGTGATAGACTAAAAGAAAGATCCATCTAGAAAAGGACACCATATAAGTGCTAATATAGGAAATATGAGGGTCCAGTAATTTTTTGTAAACTTGATAATTACAAGAAACGCATTTAAGCACACACAACACATAAGGAATAGAAAATAAAGACAGATAAAAATACCATTTTTTTGAAATGTATATAAACTTACAAGTAGGTAAATAAAAGATTACATAAGAATAATAAATGTAGTTTCTCAGCTTTGCGGTGCATATGTTTCCCTGTGGTCCATACTGTATGGAAAAATATATGCTTAATGCATAATATAACAAAAATATTTAAATTTTAATAATATATCACTATATTTCTGTCATGAACTTTATTTGTTTTCTTTTCTGACTTTATAATAAGTTTAACTTTTGTTTGGCCAGGACACAATTATTTTTCTATAATAAATAAGCCAGGCATGAAACACTCACAGAACCTAAAGTATCGGTTTTTATAGTAATGATCTTAACCCTGAAATATATGAAGAGAAGCACCTACTAATACACAGTTTAGCCCAAATTGCTAAGAGTAAAGGGCTGAGGCAAAGTGGCACTATAAGGAGCATTAATGATGAAGTAGAAGAGGTCACATTCAACATGAAAAGTTATCCCATTTGCTTGGCATGTGGTTTTTATTTGAGATAAGCTAAGATCCCCTAAGAACTTAGGTCTACCATGAAATATTTCATGTAAATACAAAATTTGATAGCAATCTTTGCTACGTTTCAAATTTCAGTAAAATATGTCCAAGAAACAATATATCCAATGACTTTTTATAAGTCAACACTTTTCCTCCTCAACAGTCTTTGATTTAATGATTTACTACTCCACCAAGATCTTTACAAACACATAATATTGTCACACTGAGCATAATTCACTTCACTCTTTTTTTTGTCATTTCCATTTGTTGAGTCTCAAAATATTTTCTCATGTGCTCACAGGGATTTACAAGTATTATCACTTTACATCAGGGTCTTATTTATTGGAATCATATAGATACAAGAAGGTCTGCATAAGATATGGAGACTGATTGGGTTACTTACTACCTTTATTTAGAAACATACATGAATATTTCTCTTGAATTTAGCAAGACCTATTTGACACTATTAATCATGTATATTGCATTCAAGCTATGAAAGTCAAAAATTGACACTCTCATAGTCACTGTATCATTGTGAACATAGCCATAAAAATAGAACAAATTCTGTAAACATATGCAGAAAACAGATAAACATGGGAAAGCTATCTATCCAAGAATAAAGAAAATAAATCACACAACAAGCATGAATACAAATCATGAGATAGCTGGTATATCTACAGAGCACATAAGTACTCTGAACTTCTAATCGTGAAACTCTAAGCCTGGAACTAGTGTCATGTAACAGACAGTTTCTTCACTCAAGTATCACAATGAATACTCAAGTTTTCTTGCATTCAGTGATAACACCTAATATCACAAAACCATAGCAGGACTTCAAAAATGCCCTGAACACCAAGATCAGGCTGAAATTAAAGCATGCTTCCTCTGAAATTATTACATTAAAATAGTCAGACCTGGTAGCATTACATGTTTGGTAGAAGGGTACCTTAGCAATCAAATGAGGAGGCTAAAATGGAAAAAAAAGACAAATATTATTTGTTATTTCCCACCTTAGACAGCAAAAGAATCCAAAATATAAATAATATTGAAGAAATTTTAGAATCTCTAATAAAGAAATTTTCACAGCCAATACCTCAAGTAGCATATAAATTTTAGTGGTTACACCTCATAAGCCATAATAATTCAGAACTCTAAAAATTAATAGTTGTACTTACTGTAGATAATAATCCTCATAATAATACGGTATATATGAATTTTTAATTTTATTAATGGTGTAGTATGTATGAATGGGAAAAAATGCACCAATCCTCACATCTCCATCATGGTGAAAATCTTCGGCAATTATGTGATAGCAGATATTCAAGTTAAAGGTGAAGACAATGTTGGGAAACTGCAGAAACAAGGGGATAAAGATCCAAGAGAACATCCTATTAATAAACGTGTCTGCTTGATTCAGATCACACAGTATCCTGTATATATAGTTCATGTTTTATTGTCAAAATGCATATTTGAAAATTGTTGAGTAAGGTAGTCCAAATAATGATTCTAAGTTTACTTTCTATTGCCTCTTCCCTTAGCATTGGGTGCTATGAAACTATTTATTCCCTTGTGTTCTGCACTTGCACTAGAGGCCATCAATTTTGGTGGAAAAACACACCAAAAATATGTTTGTGGACTTTATTTTTTACTAGCCAAAGGCACTATGATTTCATCCAATACTTCAGGTAGCAAGAGGTCAGGCTTGATGTCCTCTTGGGGTGAATTGGCTAAAAAGAAGAAGCAGTAAACTTTCCATATGAAAACAGCTTAGGCTGATGCCCAAGGATTGCATCAGAGGAAGCCAACTAAATGAATAAACAAATGACCAAAAAGAATGGACTGCAGGTATAATTACTAAAATATATGCTTTCAAAAATCAAAATATGTAAATGTATGTACTCCTGGACTGTAGTCTTTTCAAGTCTAAGACATTTACGTCTATAGTATATGTAAAAAAGCATACCAATATTGGGTCAACATACACAAGAAAAACTAAGTAAGTTTTTTCCTCACTTTAGAAAAATGAATGGCCTTCTTGTTTTATTTATTTTATTGTACAATATTTTATTTATTTTTATTAGATATTTTATTTATCTACATTTCAAATGTTATCCCCTTTCCCAGTTTCCCTTACACAAACCTCCTATCCCATTCCCCTGCTTCTATGAGGGTGCTCCCCCAACCACCTAACAACTTCTGACTCTCCATCCTGGCATTCCCCTACACTAGGGCATCAAGCTTCACAGGACCAAGGGCCTTTCCTCCACTGATGTCTGAAAAGGCCATCTTCTGCTACATATGCTGCTGTAGCCATGGTTCACTCCATGTGTACTCTTTGTTTGGCAGTTTAGTCCCTGGGAGCACTGCAGGATCTGGTTGGTTGATATTGTTGTTCTTACTAAGGGGTTGAAAACCCCTTCAGTTCCTTCAGTCCTTTCTCTAATACCTCCAATGGGGTCCCCATGCTCAGTCCAATACTTGGCTGCAAGCATCCATCTCTGTATTTGTCAGGCTCTGGCAGAGCCTCTCAAGAAACAGCTATAACAGTGTCCAATCAGCAAGCACTTCTTGCCATCCACAATAGTGTTAGCATTTGGTGTCAGTATGTAGTATGGATCCCCAGCTGGGGTACTCTCTGGATGGTCTTTCCTTCAGTCTCTGCTCAACACTTTTTCTCCATATTTCCTCCTATGAGTTCCCCCTTCTAAGAAGAACTGAAGCATCCACACTTTGGTCTACCTTTTTCTTGAGCTCCATGTAGTCTATGGGTATCTTGGGTATTCTGAGCTTTTGGGCTAATATCCACTTATAAGTGAGTGCATATCATGTGTGTTCCTTTTGACTAGACTACTTCACTCAGCATGATATTGTCTAGTTCCATTCATTTGCCTAATAATTTCATGATGTCATTGTTTATAATAGTTGACTAGTACTCCATTTTGCAAATGTACCATGTTTTCTGTATCTATTACTCTGCTGAAGGACATCTGGGTTCTTTCTAGCTTATGGCTGTTATAAATAAGGCTGCTATGAACATAGTGGAGCATGTGTCCTTGTTATATGTTGGAGCATCTTTTAGGTATCCGCTGAGGAGTGGTATAGCTCTATCCAATTTTCTGAGGAACTGCCAGACTGATTTATAGAGTGGGTGTACGAGATTGCAATCCCATCAACAATGAAGGACACTGTTCCTCTTTCTCCACATCCTAGGCATGCGCTGTCAACTGAGTTTCTGATCTTAGACATTCTGACTGGTGTGAGGTAGAATCTCAGGATTGTTTTGATTTGCATTACCCTGTTAAGACCAGTTTTTGCTAATCAGGGATTTTTTTGTTATTCCAAATGAATTTGAGGATTGCTCTCTCTAACAATATGAAGAATCAAGTTAGAATTTTGATGGATATTGCATAGAATCTGTATATTGCTTTTGGCAATATGGTCATTTTTACTATACTAATCCTGCCAATCCACTAGCATGGGAAGTCTTTCTATCTCCTGAGGTCTTCTTTGATTTTTTTCTTCAGAGACTTGAAGCTCTTACCATACAGATCTTTTACTTGCTTGGTTAGAGTTAAACCAAGATATTTTATATTATTTGTGACTACTGTGAAGGATATTGTTTCCCTAATTTCTTTCTAAGCCCTTTATCCTTTGAATAGAGGAAGGCTACTTTAGTTTCATATCCAGCCAATTTGGTGAAGTTTTTATTAGGGAGGATCTTATGAAAAATCTTATGGATTTTTCAGAGAGGTCACTTAAGTATACTATCATAACATCTACAAATAGGGATGTCTTTACTTCCTCCATTCCAATTTGAATGTGTTTGATCTTTGTGGGGAAAATTACAGGCCGCAGCTGTGGAGTTCCAGTGGGTCTCCACTCTGCGGCAGGTCCCACATGCAGGAGGAATGTCTATGGTTTCAGCCTCCTTGAGGCTTTGGCAGTGGCAGGCCCCAATAACACAAGGAAGTCCTTGGTTCCAAAAGGGTTTATTGTCATGGTGGATGATGGATGAATCTGGAAGTACACCCCATAAAACTCAGGGCAGTCCCAAGTTATATAGGGAGGGAGAAAGGGGGAGGATCTGGGGAGGCATGCTTAATTTGCTCCACCCTCTGGCCTTCATTAGTATGTAAATCCCTAGGCCCTGAGGCCTCTAGTCACACCCTCTAGCTGTGCACTTTGGGAGGGGCTGTAATGGCCTGCCTACGTGACTGAGTTTTATGGAGACCAGACTGCTTTTGAGGACCCTGGGTTCTAGGGGCGCGCCGAACTCCTGTCAGTTCTCACGCAGAGTCTCGGGGTTCTAGGCAGCTGCCCAACCATGACCCAGAATACCCTTACGCAGACCGACAGATTTCCTCTTGTTGCCTAATTGCTCTGGCTAGAAATTTGAGTACTATATTGAATAGACAGGAAAGAATGGACAGCCTTGTCTTGTCCCTGATTTTAGTGGGATTGCTTCAAATTTCTTTTAGTTTAGTTTGATTCTGGCTATTGGTTTGTTGTATTTTACTTTTATTATGTTTATAGGTTTGGACTTTGAATTTCTGATCTATCCAATACTTTTAACATGAAGGTGTGTTGTATACTGTGAAGGGCTTTTTCATCATCTAATGAGATAATTATGTGTTTTTTCTCTAAGTATGTTTATTTAGTGGATTAATTTGATGATGTATTTGCCTATATTGAACAATCCCTGCATTCCTGAAATGAAGCTTATTTAATCATGGTGAATGATGGTTTAATATGTTCTTGGATTTGGTTTGCAAGAGTTTTATTGAGTATTTTTTCAACAATATTCATGAAAGAAATTGTTGGAAGTTCTTTTTCTTTTTTTGGGTCCTTGTATGGTTTAGGTATCAGTGGAACTGTTGCTTCATAGAGCATAATGAGTAGTGTTCTTTTTGTTTCTATTTTACAGAATAGTTTGAGAAGTATTGGTATTCGGTATTCCTTGAAGCTCTGATAGAATTCTGCACTAAAATTATCTGGTTCTTGTCTTCTTTTTGATGGGGAGACTTTTATTGAATGCTTCTATTTCTTTGGGAGTTATGGCATTATTTGGAAAGTTTTTCTCATCTTAATTTAACTTTGGCACCTGGTATATGTTTAGAAAATCATCCATTTCATCTACATTTTCCAGTACTGTTGAGTATAGGATTTGTAGTAAGACCTAATGATTCTTTTGAATTTCTTTGGTTTCTGTTGTTATGTCCTCCTTTTTTGCTTCTGAATTTGTTAATTTGGATACTATCTCTGTTAGTCTGTGCCCTCTGATTAGTCTGGCCAAGGGTTTAACTTGTTGATTTTCTTGAAGAACCAACTCCTGGTTTTGTGTATATATATATATATATATATATATATATATATATATATATATGTATGTATATTCTATCTTTGTTTCTACTTGGTTAATTTCAGCTCTGAGTTTGATTATTTCCTGCTGTCCACTCCTCTTGGATGCATTTGCTTCATTGTTTTCTAGAACTTTAAGAAGTACTGCTAAGCTATTGGTGTATACTCTCTCCATTTTATTTATGGATGCACTCCGAGTTATGAGTTTTCCTCTTAGCACTGCTTTCATTGTGTCCCTTAAATTTGATTATGTTTTGCCTTCATTTTTCTTAAATTCTAAAAATTCTTTAATTTCTTTACTTGTTCCCTGACCAACTTATCATTGAGTAGAGAATTTTTCAGCTTCCATGTGTACATGAGACTCCTGTTGTTTTTGTTGTTACTGAAGAACAGTCTTAATCTGTGGTGATTCAATAGGATGCATGGATTATTTCAATCTTCTTGTATCAGTTGAGGCTTGTTTTCTGTCAAAGTATGTGGTCAGTTATGGAGAAGGTGCCATGAGGTGCTGAGAAGAGGCTTTTTTTTTTAAGTGAAATATTCTGTAGATATCTGTTAAATGATTTGGTTCATAACTTCTGTTAGATTCACTGTGTCTCTTTTTAGATTCTGTTTCCATGATCTGTCATTTGGTGAGAGTAGGGTGTTGAAGTCTCCCACTATCATTGTGTGAGGTTCAATGTATACTTTGATCTTCAGTAACATTTCTTTTACAAATGTGGGTGCCCTTGCATTTGGGGCATACATGTCCTGAATTGAGACTTCCTCTGGATGGATTTTTCCTTTGCTGGGTATGAAGTGTTCTTCGCCATCTTTTTCGTGACTTTTGGTTGAAAGTCTATTTTATTGGATAGTAGAATGGCTACTCCAGCTTGTTTCTTGGGACCATTTACTTAGATAGTATTTTCTAGCATTTTACTTTGAAGTAATATCTCTCTTTGTCACTAAAATGAGTTTCCTGTATGCAGCAAAACGCTGGGTCCTGTTTATGTATCCAGTTTGCCAGTACATCTGTTTTTATTGGGAAAC